CACACCTCCTCCTCACTGGGGGTCCAAAAGGGTCAGGAACTGGGGGGCACAAAGGACTCCAAAAGGGTCAGGAACTGGGGGGCACAAAGGACTCCAAAAGGGTCAGGAACTGGGGGGCACAGAAGACTCCAGCTCAAGCTGCTGCCTTTATTTTTCAGGGGGCTGCGGCGCCATGTACGAAATTCACATCGAGTCGGAGGAGTTCAGAGAGAAGCGGACGGTGCAGCAGCACCAGATGGTTAATCAGGTGAGGGGGGGCACGGGGGGGGACACACACTTGGCCTGGCTGGGGATGATGGCGTTTGGGCACGTGGGACACAGTGGGGGTGTGTGTGTAAGTGAGTGTGCACAGTGCCTGGTGCGCGCGATGCCCCTGTGGTGATTCGTAGTCAGTGTGTGTGTGTGTGTGTGTGCAGTGCTTTAGTCTGGCATGTTAATTGTGTGTGTGTGCACAGTGCTAATTACTGCCTGCACACACACACACACACACTGTGCCAAACTGGGGACTGTGCACACGCAGCACCTGGCTGCAGGAGCTGCACAGGACACACAGTGTGAGGATAAAGGGCTGTGTGGGCACACGGGGTGAGTGTCTGAGTAGCTTCTCCTTCCCTCCCAGTAAGGACCAGTGCCTCTCTTGCCTCCCTCCCAGTAATGACAGCAGCGTAGCTCTCTCTTGGTTCCTTCCCAGTAAAGAACCAGTGCCTGTCTTGCCCACTTCCCAGTAAAGAACCAGTGCCTGTCTTGCCTCCCTCCCAGTAAAGACAGCACCATAACTAGCTCTTTCCACCCTCCCAGTAAAGGACCAGTTTAGCTCTTTCCACTCTCTCAATAAAGACCAGTGCCTCTCTTGCTGCCCTCCCAGTAAAGACAGGAGTGGAGCTCACTCTTCCCTCCCTCCCAATAAAACCAGTGCAGCTCTTGCTGCCCTCCCAGTAAAGACCAGTGCCACTCTTGCCTTTCTCCCAGTAAAGACAGCAGCATAGCTTGCTTTTGCCTCCTTCCCAGTAAAGGACCAGTGCAGCTCTTTCCACTCCCAGTAAAGAACCAGTGCCTGTCTTGCCACCCTCCCAGTAAAGAACCAGTGCCTCTCTTGCCACCCTCCCAGTAAAGAACCAGTGCCTCTCTTGCCACCCTCCCAGTAAAGACAGCACCATAACTAGCTCTTTCCACCCTCCCAGTAAAGGACCACTGCAGCTTTTGCCTCCCAGTAAAGACACCAGTGTAGCTCACTCCTGCTTCTCTCCCAGTAAAGGACCAGTGTTGCCCTTTCTTCCCTCCCAATAAAGGACCAGTACCCCTATTGCCAACCTCCCACTGAAGACCAGTGCCTCTCTTCTCTCCCAGTGAAGACAGCAGCGTAGCCCTCTCTTGCCTCCCTCCCAGTAAAGAACCAGTGCCTGTCTTGCCTGCCTCCCAGTAAAGATAGCACCATATCTAGCTCTTTCCACTCTCCCAGTAAAGGACCAGTTTAGCTCTTTCCACTCTCTCAATAAAGACCAGTGCCTCTCTTGCTGCCCTCCCAGTAAAGACCAGTGCCACTCTTGCCTTTCTCCCAGTAAAGACAGCAGCATAGCTTGCTTTTGCCTCCTTCCCAGTAAAGGACCAGTGCAGCTCTTTCCACTCCCAGTAAAGAACCAGTGCCTGTCTTGCCACCCTCCCAGTAAAGAACCAGTGCCTCTCTTGCCACCCTCCCAGTAAAGACAGCACCATAACTAGCTCTTTCCACCCTCCCAGTAAAGGACCACTGCAGCTTTTGCCTCCCAGTAAAGACACCAGTGTAGCTCACTCCTGCTTCTCTCCCAGTAAAGGACCAGTGTTGCCCTTTCTTCCCTCCCAATAAAGGACCAGTACCACTATTGCCAACCTCCCACTGAAGACCAGTGCCTCTCTTCTCTCCCAGTGAAGACAGCAGCGTAGCCCTCTCTTCTGCAGCTTTTGCCTCCCAGTAAAGACACCAGTGTAGCTCACTCCTGCTTCTCTCCCAGTAAAGGACCAGTGTTGCCCTTTCTTCCCTCCCAATAAAGGACCAGTACCCCTATTGCCAACCTCCCACTGAAGACCAGTGCCTCTCTTCTCTCCCAGTAAAGACAGCAGTGTAGCTCTCTCTTGCCTCCTTCCCAGTAAAGAACCAGTGCCTGTTTTGCCGCCCTCCCAGTAAAGACAGCAGTGTAGCTCTCTCTTGCCTCCTTCCCAGTAAAGAACCAGTGCCTGTCTTGCCTGCCTCCCAGTAAAGATAGCACCATATCTAGCTCTTTCCACCCTCCCAGTAAAGGACCAGTTTAGCTCTTTCCACTCTCTCAATAAAGACCAGTGCCTCTCTTGCTGCCCTCCCAGTAAAGACAGGAGTGGAGCTCACTCTTCCCTCCCTCCCAATAAAACCAGTGCAGCTCTTGCTGCCCTCCCAGTAAAGACCAGTGCAGCTCTTGCTGCCCTCCCCATAAAGACTGGTGCTTGTCTTGCCACCCTCCCAGTAAAGAACCAATGCCTCTCTTGCCACCCTCCCAGTAAAGACAGCAGCATAACTAGCTCTTTCCACCCTCCCAGTAAAGGGTGCAGCTCCCAGTGCAGCTTTTGCCTCCCTTCCAGTAAAGACACCAGCAAAACTCGCTCTTGCTTCTCTCCCAGTAAAGGACCAGTGTTGCCCTTTCTTCCCTCCCAATAAAGGACCAGTACCCCTATTGCCAACCTCCCACTGAAGACCAGTGCCTCTCTTCTCTCCCAGTAAAGACAGCAGTGTAGCTCTCTCTTGCCTCCTTCCCAGTAAAGAACCAGTGCCTGTTTTGTCACCCTCCCAGTAATGACAGCAGCGTATCTCTCTCACCTCCCTCCCAGTAAAGACCAGTGCCTCTCTTGGCTCCCTCCCAGTAGAGACAGCAGCATAACTAGCTCTTGCCTCCCTCCCAGTAAAGACCAGTGCAGCTCTCTCTTCCCTCCCAGTTAACAGCACTGTGTGTGTGTGTGCACAGCAGTTCCAGCTGGGTGCTGTCACAGGTGTGTGTGCGTGCACAATCAGTGTGCAGAGCTCACACAGTGCTGTGTCTCACAGCGTAGCCCACCCTTCCCAGCACTAAATAGCATTAACCCTTCATTTTTTCCCCCAGTAATAACCAGCAGAGCCAGCCCTTCTCACACTGTGTGTGTGTGTGCAGCACACACTCACAGCTGGGGGTGAGCACGGGCACACACATGTGGTGCCCAGCTCTGTTCTAGGCAGAGTGAGCACCAGTCAGAGGATGAATTCTGTGCCTGATTTCAAAGCAGAGCCCTTCCCACCCCAGGTAATACACAGTGTAGCCCTTTTCCCCCTCAAATAATAAATAATAATTAAAAGCATAGCCCTTCCTCCCCCCCCGTAATGAACACTGTAGCCTGCCCACCCTTCTGATTAAAAATCCCAGCTGTTTAGTTATTAATAACTAGAGTAGTTTGTGTGTGCAGCGCTTCACTGTGGGGCTGTGTGTGTGCACAGCACTCACAACTGAGTGTGAAGGGCTGTGCACACCCAGTGTGAGGATTAAATGCTGTGCAGGGTGTCCAACAGTCCAGCCCCTTTCCCCACAACAAACAGCACAGCTGTGTGCAAGCAGCACTTGTCCTGCCTGCTCATGTGCCACGAGAGTGTCGTACCTGCACACTGGGTGAGTGTCTTAATTGTGTAGCTCTTTCTTCCTAATAATAATTAGTGGGGGGAAGGAAGTGTCTTTAAATGCCTTTTCCTTTTTCCCTGGTAATAAACATCACAGCCCTTGTTTTCTGACCATGTAGCACTTAATTGTGTGTACACACAGCAGGCAGGTCTGATTAAATGCCACACAAAGTATTACAGCAGGGTGTTTGTACATGAAACTTAATTGTGTGTACACACAGCAGGCAGGTTTGATTAAATGCCACACAAAGTATTACAGTAGAGTGTTTGTACATTAGTGGTGTTGCTGGCACTCTGCTGTGGGGGTGACGCTTGCAATTGGGTGACTTTGTGACTTAATCCACCATTTTCAGTGTGGATTCATAGCACTTTTTTGCCAGATGAGCTGGGCTACAGCCCTTTCACTGTGCACAACCACCACACCGTGACACTTTCCCCCCCCTAGAACCACACCATGACACTTGTCACCCCTCTAGAACCACACTGTGACACTTATGACCCCCCAAGACTCAGTGCTGGTGTCTCTGTTGCAGGCACTGAGCGAGGAGATCAAGAGCATGCACGGACTGCGCATCTTCACCTCCACCCCCAAACCCTGACGCTTTATTGAGCAATAAAGATGGTTGAGAGGTGCCCTCCGGGCTGCTCCCTCCTCCTCCTCCCAGTGTATCTACAAAATTTATCTCCAAGTGCTGTGTTTTCACCTGTGTGGGGCTGGGGGAGGCTGCAAAGGGAGGGGGACAGAAGAAGAAACACCCCTCTGAGAGAAGAGCAGGAAGGAGAAACTTTATTATTGCTGGGTCCCTCCCTCAGCTCCCCCCACTGTGCTGGGAACACGAGCAAGCTGCTCTTCCAGGCAGGGGACAGGCTCCCCTTGGGCCAGGCACTTCTTTTCCTCCCCCCCACAGTGCTGCTGCCAAAGGGGAGCTTAAGGCTCTAAGTGCATCGTCTCCTCCAAAAAAAAAGCACTTCCAAAAATAAGCTCTCTCCCAGGGGGAAGCACACCCCCCGGGCAGGCAGCTCAGAGGCCAAGCACTGTGTCCGTGGGGGCCAGAGGAAAATTGGGGAGTAGAAAGCAGCGCTCAGAGCTCTGCCCCACACCTGTGGGGAGCAAAACCCCCTCCAAGGCTGAGTCCCACCCTGAACCCGGGTGCTGTTCTCACCAGACTTGAGCAGGTGGAACATGGAGCAGGTCACCTCAGCTTCTAAACCATCGCGGGGTAGAAGTGCTGCCTGGTCAGGGACCGGTGCTGCTGGGAGCACTGTCTGGTGTCTCGGGGCCTGCGTCGCTGAAGGCGAAGCGTAGAAGTGGCGGCGTACGAAGCGGAGAGGAGCGGCCAAAAGGGTCCTCCAGGGAATGGTTTATCTGTCCTTGGAGCCCAGCTTCTCGATCAGCTCCTGCAGAGGAGCCAACTCCCGCCTGTCGATCAAGTTGAACTCCTGGCAGGGAGGAAAAAAAGAGAAAACAACATAAAAACTAAAGGCACCTCTCAAAAAAGCTGCTGGAAAACACAACCTGGTAACACCCCGCATCAATCCATGTCTGCTGCTAGAATTCAAGCATTTTGAGACAGCAAAACTTTTTCTGCCATGAGAAGTACCATGCTGTTCTGCACAAGTCCCTCCTTGGGTCACAGAAGAAGGTGCAACCTGGTAACACCCCGCATCAATCCATGTCTGCTGCTAGAATTCAAGCATTTCAAGACAGCAAAACTTCTGCCATGTCCCTGAGAAGTACCACGCTGCTCTGCACAAGTCCCCCCTTGGGTCACAGAAGGTCACAGAACAAGCTGCTAAAATACTTAAAAAAAAAAAAAAAAAAAAAAAGGTGCTGCTGCTATTTCCGAGTCGATTCTTGAGCTACAAACCCCCCCAAGCTCTCCTCCGAGGCTGGTTTCATTTGCTGCAGGTCGATAGCTAGAACCTGAGAGGGGAAATAAAGCGTTTACAGCCAACTCGGCCACGCTTCCTGCAAAAAAAAAAAAAAAAAAACCAACCCCAAAACCCAACCCCACAAACCCACAGCTGTGTGGTTTGCAAGGTACAGAGGGTGGGAGGTGAGTGTATCTTCCAGCGCACGCCACGGCTTCAAAGAGCGAGGAGGCTTAAAATCCAACTCTTTTTAAAAGCAAAAAGGGAAGAAGAAACCCCAGAGGCAGGCGAGCGGCTGCTGTTTCGCAACTCACCTGCACGAAGAAGATAAAGTGCTTGAAGGAGGTGTTGAGGTGGGCCTCCTCCTGCAGCCGCATGACGGAGTCGAAGTGCTGGTGGTAGATGTGGGCGTAGACGCGGAACAGCCGCTTCAGGATCGTCTTGGCCACCGACATGAAGTTCTTGGGAAAGGGGACACCTGAAACGCACCAACACACACGAGTGAGTCCTTCGGTTTGGTCAGAAGAACCAAAGTGAGATGTCCTGGATGAGAAGCTCAACATGAGCCAGCAGTGTGTGCTGGCAGCCCAGAGAGACAAACCGTGTCCTGGGCTGCATCAGGAGAAGTGTGGCCAGCAGGTCCCGGGAGGTGATTCTGCCCCTCTACTCTGCACCCTGAGACCCCGCCTGGAGCTCTGTGTCCAGCTTTGGAGTCCTCAACACAGAAAGGACATGGACCAGCTGGAACAGGTCCAGCGGAGGGCCACGAAGATGCTCAGAGGGATGGAGCACCTCTCCTATGGAGACAGGCTGAGGGAGCTGGGATTGTTCAGCCTGGAGAAGAGAAGGCTCCAGGGAAACCTTCTAGCGGCCTTTCAATACCTGAAGGGTGCCTATGGAAGAGCTGGAGAGGGACTCTGTCAGGAGGGGTAATGATAGGACAAGGGGAAATGGTTTTAAATTGGAAGAAAAAAGATTCAGATTAGATCTCAGGAAGAAATTTTTTACTCTGAGGGTGGTGAGACACTGGAACAGGTTGCCCAGGGAAGTTGTGGATGCCCCATCCCTGGAGGGGTTCAAGGCCAGGCTGGATGGGGCCTTGAGCAACCTGCTCTAGTGGGAGGTGTCCCTGCCCAGGGCAGGGGGGTTGGAACTCGATGATCTTTGAGGTCCCTTCCAACCCAAACCACTCTATGGTTCTATGATCTCAGTCCTGTACGCCCTGCAGGACATCTCAGTCCTGTTGCCCCACACAGCCGCACTTACCGATCTTTGAAGGGAAGAGGGTTTCATCATCCAGTTGGTCCTGCACCCACGTCATCAAGTAATCGATGTATTTTGGAGCTGAGCACTTGATGGGCTTCTTTATGTTGGTGCCGTCTGCCCAGTGGTACTCGTACCTGCGGGGAGAGGGAGGGAAAAGAAATCCTTTGCTCCAGGAGATAAAAAAAATTGCATTTTCAGGCCCTGCAGTTTCCTTCTTATGTCAGAAAGGAGAGACTCTGCAACACTTGTTCTCCTTGGGAGCACTTTGCCTTCCTGAGTTTCTCGAGCACAACACAGAGTTAATACCTCCATCCCAACCACCAGTGATCGCCCTCAAAAGTGAACTTAACAACCTCCTCTGACATCCAAATATTTCCTCTAAATGAGCCAAAACCTGCCAGAGAGGAAGCATCAGGGCCATCGCTCTCCATCTGAATTGATTCACCTACAGCTTTCAGACACCCTCCAGGGATTGGGGGCTCCCTCTCCCCTCATGAGATGGCCAACTTCCCCCAGAGACTGACCCTGGGGCTTCTTCCCAGTTGGCCAAAGGCTTTGGGAAGCTGCTGTCTCCAATGGACACGTGCTTATCGATCCCATGGCTCCACCAAGCTAGGGCAGATGTCAACCCTAACGTTGTGTGACACACAACCTCCTTTCTCTGCCATCTTTTGCAAAATCCTTCATAAGCAGAGGGGAAAGCCCCATGTTTTGACTGTTGCCTCTTGACTGACGACAAGTGAAAACAAATGGTGCCATTTAAACAGGAAGTCCTTACAGGAAATGTCCCCAAATATAGAAACAGGAACTTGCAGTCTAGATACTTCTGGGTAGAAAAGCAGGGCAGGATGTTACACAGCACCCTACAACTACTGCCCACCGGCCAGACTCCACGCTGCTGCCCCCCAAAACAAGGAGCCTCGAGTAACCTTACAAACAATACCCTGCTGTAGCTTCACCTCGACAAAATACACCTCTGCCCCCCAAAACAAGGAGCCTCGAGTAACCCTGCAAACAATACCCTGCTGTAGCTTCACCTTGACAAAATACACCAGTGCAGAACCAACGTGTAATATTATTCTCCCCACAGGTATTTGCACCTCCTAAAAACAACAAGGCACCCCTAAATGCATCTTTGCTATTTCCCTTCCACAACACCCCAATCTTCTTTGTTACATCAGCTAAAAATACACCTCCTGAAAACCACTGCCTGCGCTTCTCGCCCGTGTGACGAGCGCCAGTGTTAATGGAGGGGCAGCAGCCCCTAAAATCACCTCAGGACAACACACGCTTTGTCCTTTTCATGGCTTGCACCAGGACAAGCAAACTTCAAGCCTGGCTGGTTCAACAGGGTAGATGATACCAGCCCTGATATGGCATAAAGATCATCAGGACTCAAGACACTTGGCTGTTCCCCACTGCACCTACTGGTCTCCACAAGCATGAGGTGCCCTTCCCAGTGTGAACTCTGCAGATCAGCAGCATCAGGCTGCCCTTTTCTCCCTGCAGTCATCGCACACACTGCACCGCTCAAGACACTTGGCTGTTCCCCACTGCACCTACTGGTCTCCACAAGCATGAGGTGCCCTTCCCAGTGTGAACTCTGCAGATCAGCAGCATCAGGCTGCCCTTTTCTCCCCGCAGTCATCGCACACTCCGTACCCTAACCCAACCCAACGCCTCACGTCCTGCCCCGAGCTGCTCACGGCAGCTTTAGAATCACTCGTGCTCAGAAAAACCACACCACGGCCTCTCAGAGCACCGGCTCCGCGAGACACAGGCACAGCAAGAGGTTACTCTAAGTTCCCCAGGCCGGAAGGGACCTCCAAAGGCCATCTAGTCCGACCTCCCCGCAGTCAGCAGGGACACCCCCAACTAGACCAGGTTGCCCAGGGCCTCATCGAGCCTCTCCTTGAATATCTCCAGGGATGGGGCCTCAACCACCTCCCTGGGCAACCTGTTCCAGTGCTCCACCACCCTCACAGTAAAGAACCCCCTCTTGATCTCCAGTCTAAATCTGTTCCCCTCCAGCTTGAAGCAATTGCCCCTCGTCCTGTCACTGCAGGCCTTTCTAAACAGGTTCTAAGAGGTTACTCTGCCAACCTCAATGATTCTATGATTCTAAGTCAGATCTCTTATTTTCCTTAAAACAAGCCATTTTCACAACACGTCTTTTCAGCTTCCAAACAACACAGGGAACGGATCAACAGGGGGAAAAGAGATCCCCGTTGAGACTCCGACAGCAAGACCAGACCCTTCCAGTCAAGACAGATCTCTTATTTTCCTTCAAACAAGCCATTTTCACAACACGTCCTTTCAGCTTCCAAACAACACAGGGAACTGATCAACAGAGGGAAAAGAGATCCCCGCGGACACTCCTCCTGGACAGATATTCAACACACCAGACAAACTGATGCAGCCTCCTTAACAGTGTGGCTTCAGGCCCAGATAAACGACAGTAGAAGAGCACGATGCTGCACCTCGACCCGATCTGGACGTGTCCTGTCCTCTTTTCAGCTTCTTTCCACACACGCTCGAGCAACCCGTGCGCCCGCCTACTTCCCCACATTTAAATTGTGGCCTCAGACCACAATAAACTTCCTACCTCGGTCCCGCGGACATGACGGGACAGCTGGCCTCCGTGCAGAACTCCGTGATGGTCCCGTACAGCATGTTGATTTGGTTGAAGAAATCCACAGCTGGAAGGGAAATGCAGCAAGTTTACACCAACACAAAGCAGAGCAGGCACCGGTTGGCTCCGGTTCGGCTGACGCAGCCCCCGAGGATCGCCCTGGCAGGGGTGAACACGCTGCAAAACTCAGCAAAAATAAACATCCCCCTTCCCTGCCACGTCACGTGGCTGATGACTTCGAGACATTTCAACCATCTAGGAATTTGAATTGCTCTGTCAATTTTTCGCTGTCTGGCTGCCACCCCTAACCAAGCTGTAGGGCACGAAGCGCCGCTCAGCCTTCCGTACCTTGGAAACAACTGCTTTAGGTTCCAGGCACCTTTAAAAAATGGGAGTAACTCAAAAACCCCATTGATTTTGATAATACAGGAGACATTCCCTAGATTGAACATTTGTGGCCTGACTTACTGTTTTCCACAGCTCAAAACTACTCTTTCCTTCTTTAACGTCCAAAGAAACAAAGTTCAAGGCCAGGGAGAGCAACTGCTAAAAGCAAAATAAATCTGTAGTACTTGGCTTTTTAAATTATGCACGCAGCAATAATAAAATGAAAATAGAAAACAAAAAAGAAACTCCACAAACCTAGAGTTCAGCCAACAAGATGGTCCCACTTTTTTCCTGGACTACACGCTGTCACGGTTTTTGCAGCCAACAATGCTAACTCTGGTTATTTTTGTACTTGGGAATAAGCCTCGAGTGTTCCTGTTTGGAATGACATTCACAAACCTCATCGCCTTTGCAAGTCTGAATGCAAAAAAAAAACCCACTACGGTGTGGGTTTTGGGTTTGTTTCTCTCTTTTTGCACGCTTCTGGAGCACAGTGCCCCTTTGACCTGCCTGCCATCGGCACGTCACACCCTTCCTTCCCCTTTATCCCAACTTGGTTACCTCAACAGAGCCTGCCTAGGATAAGAATTCCATTTGGAAAAGTTCTAGGTTCTTCTAAGGATAAAAATCAGAGATTTTGGGGTTTCTCACTCCCCTCCACGCTTGGGCGGATCCCTCTCTCACAGAACTTACTGTTAACTGCGATCCACTCGTTCAGGTCCTCTCCCTCCGGCAGCATCACTGCTTGTCTGAGGTTACCGCTCCCCAGCGTCGCTTCCGCATGTTTCAGGAGTTCATACTGATGGGAGCCTTCAGGAATGTTCTTCTTGGGTTTGAATGTTTTCGAAGATCGGCTCCCACTGACAAGAGAGAAAACATTTCCAGTTAGTCCTTTAACAACGTTCCCATCCCAGAAACATTTTCCATATTACCCCTCACCATCAGGCACTCCCAACTGGGGTGACACCAGTCCTGCCCCGTTTCCCCTGCTGTCGGGGCGGGCAGATCCTACGTGCAAGATGAAGTGTTTCTGACTAAAAAGCCACCTGCACACTTCCCTCTTTCACCTACCCCTTTTTAAAAATCACAAACTTTCGGTGCAACAGCCCAAAGATTCATCAAGAGACACGAAAGGAAAAGCCCACGTAAGTGCTGGGGAACACCACGACCTGCTGCTGGGTCAGTCTGACAGTGGCAAATATTAGACACTCACTGCTCGAATGCACTGTAGGAAACAGCTTGCTAAAAATAGCTACTTAATAGGCTCCAGCCCCGAAACGCAAATAATCATCGTAATCTTCCCTCGCTGTGTTGTAGACAGCTGTGCTCAGCAGCTCAGCCATCGCACAACTCCTCGCCAAACTCCCCCCCCATCCCTACTACCGCCGCCTCTCCCCAAACAGCTGCCAAAAAAACGGGATGGATTTCGATACTTCTCAACCACAAAAAGCTTAACTTTCAGCCCCCGTCAGCTCTCTGCTTCTGAGCAAGAGTGATGCAAACGATGGGATGGCCCCCAAACAGCTGCCAAAAAAACGGGATGGATTTCGATACTTCTCAACCACAAAAAGCTTAACTTTCAGCCCCCGTCAGCTCCCTGCTTCTGAGCAAGAGTGATGCAAACGACGGGATGGCCAAGGCCCAAAGCACAGCCCAGGGGAAAAGGGCTTCTCCGGCGTGTGCCACCGGCGTCCTGCCCCCGTTTCTCGGAACCGGATGCGTTTGCCTGGCACGCACCGCGCGGCGCTTCCTGCTGCGAACTTAGGGCTTTACAGGCTGTTTGTGCACAGTGCTCAGTGCAGAAAAAAAAAAAAAAAGACCTTTAGAGCCAGCTCGCTCTTAAACCAAACCACTACCTCCTGCCGCAGCCGACAGGCAGGCCCAGCACATCACTGATGTGAGGAAGAGAGTCCTCAGGCCAGACCCAGCGCATCGCCGACCCTAGGAAAGGAGTCCCCAGCCCCTTCTTACGCCAAAAACTGCCTCCAGTCCTCATCCACAGCACCCACCAGGCTTTAAGAGCCAGATGCCCTCTCGCCCACCCCCTGTAGCTCGTTAAAGATGCATTTTTTTACACTACACGCCTGTAGCTCTACCAAATTACCGTAGGGTACAGCCTACCCAAAGCCCACCCAGGTGTAAGCCCCTCACCCTCGGGACCAAAGCCTCCTCTTTTCATAGAATCATAGAATGGTCTAGGTTGGAAGAGACCCTTGGGATCATCGAGTCCAACCATCTACCCTACTCTACAAAGTCCTCCCCTACACCATGTCCCTCAGCACTGCATCTAAACGGCCCTTAAACACATCCAGGGACGGGGACTCCACCCCCTCCCTGGGCAGCCTGTTCCAATGCCCGACCACTCTTTCGGTGAAAAATTCCTTCCTAATGTTCAATCTAAACCTCCCCTGTTGGAGCTTGAAGCCGTTCCCTCTCGTTCTGTCACTAATTACCTGTGAGAAGAGACCAGCACCAACCTCTCTACAGTGTCCTTTCACGAAGTTGTAGAGAGTGATGAGGTCTCCCCTCAGCCTCCTCTTCCTCACACTAAACAGTCCCAACTCCCTCAGCCGCTCCTCATACGATTTGTTTTCCAGCCCCCTCACCAGCTTCGTTGCCCTCCTCTGCACTCGCTCCAGCACCTCCAGATCTCTCTTGGATTGAGGTGCCCAAAACTGGACACAATACTCGAGGTGTGGCCTCACCAGTGCTGAGTACAGGGGCACAATCACCTCACCACCACCTCACCCCACACCCCCAAAGCCCCCTCCCACCTCCCAGGGCCTCCCACTATGGCACAGCCTCCCTGCAGACACCCCCACCCCCTCAGGGTCTCCCCCAGTTCCCATGGAATAGCAGCCCCTCAAATTCCCCCCACCTAGGGCAGATTAACCCTCACAAGACAACGCCTCTCCAGAGCCTTCCCTCTAAGGCTGCCCCCAAAAAGGCTTTCCTATCCCCTCACACACCCCTCAAATGCCCCATGTACCCTTCCATGGCACTCACCCAATGTGGGTGCCTGCCCCCCCAGTGCCACCCCACTGCCAGCCCCACCTCCACATCTCAGCCTGGGACCCCAGCCCTGCAAGGCACTCTCTCCCACCCTGCCTTCCTCCCCAAAAAAACCCCACTAAATCCCCAAGACTTCCTCCACAGGACCTATACTCCTCCCTGTGTCCCTCCAGGGCTTCCTCCCAAAGTCTTCCTCGGTCCCTTCTCATACATCCCCAGGAACTCTTTTCAAAGCCTCCCCCCAAAGCCTTTCTCAAGCCCCCTGTGAGCCCCCAGGGCCTCTGCCCAAAGCCACACAGGGCTTCCCCCTAAAACTTCCCTTAAGACCCCTCCCGTGCCTCACCACAAGCCCCTCCTCAGCTCCCTGGCACCTCTGGGGCCTCTGACCCCCAAAAGCTTCCCTCGAGGCCCAGGACTTCCCTCAGAAGCCCATGTCCTCCCCACGACACCTTCCTCAAGCTCCCAAGCACCACCAGCACCTCCCCACAAAGGCCTCCCTCAGTGTCCCCTGCCCCAGAAACCCCAAAAACCTTTGTCCCCCTCAAGCCCTTCCCAGATCCAGCCCCAAGGCCTCCCCAAATTCTCCCCCCTCTCACAGACCGAGTCCAAACACCCTCCCCCCTCCCCCAAATCTTCTAACAACCCTCCTAAAGCCCCTCACAGACCCCGCAGAAGCCTTCCCCTCCCCAAACCCCTCACATAGCCCCTCCCCGAAGGCCTTTCTCTCCCCTCTAAAGCCCTTCACGGCTACCCCACTCCCTCAGGGCCTCCCCAAACACCATCTGCCCCACAACACCTCTCACAGACCGACCCAGAG